GGGAAACGCTGTCTCTACTAAAAATACAAAAAAAAAAAAAAAAAAAAAAAATTAGTTGGGTATTGTGGTACATGCTTGTAATCCCAGTTACGCAGGAGGCTGAAGCAGGAGAATCGCTTGAACTCAGGAGGCAGAAGTTGCAGTGAGCTGAGATCACGGCACTGACTCCAGCCTGGGGGACAGAGTGAGACTCAAAAAAAAAAAAAAAAATATATATATATATATATCAGCCAGGCACGGTGGCGGGCACCTGTAATCCCAGCTACTCAGGAGGCTGAGGCAGGAGAATCACTTGAACCCGGGAGGTGGAGGTTGCAGTGAGTCGAGGTCATGCCACTGCACTCCAGCCTGGGGGACAGGGTGAGACTCTGTCTCAATAAATAAATAAATTAATTAAATAAAAAAAAATTAGCTGGGAACAGTGGTGGGCACCCATAATCCCAGCTACTCAGGAGGCTGAGGCAGGAGAATTGCTCAAACCCGGGAGGCAGAGGTTGCAGGAAGCTGAGATCATGCCCCTGCACTCCAGCCTGGCGAGTGCCTCCAAAAAAAAAAAAAAAAAAACAACAACAACAACAATGAGACTTTTTTTGCACATATGAGATTGTTGACTAAGTCATTTCTGTACATGAATTCCCTTCATCATGGTTGTGTAACAGGCATTCCCAAGTGCAAAGGGCAGAGTGCATGACACAATCACCAATATTGAGAAACCACATCCTGCTGGACAGCCTGAAGCTCTCTACTGCATGCTGCCTTAACCCAAGGTTTTGGAAATGTACGTAGTGAGCAGAAAAACACATGAACACTTTGTCAGCTCTGCCACATACAGAAACAACTGAGAATCACACATTGCTCTGGGGTGGCAGAACTACTTTTTCTCAGAGCTTGGACTTGGGGAGGGCTTGTCTTCTGAAGCCTTGAACAAACTCTGAGCTCTGCCAACAAGAAAGAAATGGGGGTGGGGTTTGGGGGCAACCAATACTTTCTGTTACGCATCCCACTTTTCCCACCTTTGTTACTATTCTTTTCAAGTCTCACGTCTGAGTCACATGCCTAGATCCATAGCCCACCCACGACCGCCGCTAATTACCAGGTGAAATTGCTTCTTCCCCAAATTGGCAAACCTCTTCTGGAAGATTGGGGACTGCTGGCCCACAGTCTTCTGGGCCCAGGGTTCTTTCCTCTTGGAAATGCCTCATTATTCAAGGCAAGGGCCCAGATTCTCCAAAAGCATAGTGGTTTGGATACGGCATTTGTAACCGGGATGAGATGTTCTCCTGTTATTCTCGTTTGTGGGAGTCCTCACCTTAGTTGGTTGAGGGTGAATTCACACGAGTGCAGAGCATTCCGTTTATATTACCACCATGTCTCTAAGCATCCTACGCCCTCACTTGCTCTGCCCTCGGTGCTGGAGGAGTGCTGGGCAGAGTGCCAAGCCTCACTCCCACCTGGATGATCAGTGGTGAAGTGTGGCCTGCTGTCAATTGGCAGAGAAGCTGAGCTGAGCTGCCAAGCAACTCCCTGGAGTTTGGCATGGTGGTGCTTGTTCCGTGGAGCCTTGCAAGTTTCTTGAGGTCACGTTCTTCTAGCTGCTCAGCGCCTCTCCTTTCCCCTTCCTCAGTACTGGCTTTATCTAGTTGGGGCTGGAAAATTTCTCAGGTGTGTATCTGATTTTTTTTCTTAGACTAGATGCTTTGTATTTACCAGCTTTGTTTTCCGGGGCTCCAAGCAGCTGACTTGCGTCTAGCTCTCCAGGTTGGAGGCATGGTTAGTGGGGGCAGTGATGGTAAATTGATGGAAAGAATTTGAACAAAGGAGTTTGAGGGAAGGGGGGGGAAGAGAGAGATAGAGAACAAGCATATAAATCAATCCTTCTTTGAAATATTATCCAGCCCCATTCATACATACAAGTCAAAGCAGGAACTTAATTCAGTCTTTACTGCAAAAGTACTCCCAGGGGCTAAAAGAACTGATGCAAATTCCAAAGAACACGAGGAACTGTTTGAACACAGAGGATATAGATTTCTCACTGTTCATAATGGTTCTCCAAAATGTCAAGTAAACTCATTATTTTCCTCACTAACTACCTAGGGCTTGGTTGATCAAATTAGCCCTTTATCCTCATTAAAAAGGGTGTATTCTCTAACAGATTGTAGCTGCTTAATGCTGTCTAAAGTACTGCTGTTCAATACGACTTTCTGTGTTGGAGGTATCCTATATCTATGCTGTCTAATACAGTAGCCACATGAGGCTATTGAGTACTGGAAATATGAGCACTGGAAATATGGCTAGGGTAGCTGAGAAACTGAATTTTTAATTTAATTTTATTTAAGTTAATTTTTAATTTTTTAATTAAAAAATATTTTTGGAGACAAGGTCTCACTCTGCCACCCGGGATGGGGTGCAGTGGTGCAGTCATGGCTCACTGCAGCCTCCAACCCCAGAGCCTCAAGCGATCCTTGTGCCTCGGCTTCCCAAAGTATTGGAATTGCAGACGTGAGCTACCCTGCCCAGCTTAACCTAATTTAAATTTAAATAGTCATATGACCAGTAGCTTCTGTATTAGATAGCAGAAGTCTGAAGTTTACCTGTGTGCTCTGGTAATATGTGAAGGGGGCTTCATCCCACCACAGCTTAAATGACTGTGTGAATCAGTCAGTGCTTCACCTGGCATAGAAAAGGTGCTCAATAAACCTTTGGTGAAATACTTAAAATGCTAACCTTGAAGAAAGTTGGTGGGGGAACGTGGTTTTTATGTAACTGCAGTAGTGGGGGTTGAGGCAGGCAAAATCCCTCTTACAAACCTCCTCTTCCTCCTCATGTGAAATAGGGGTAGCCCCTTCTAATTAAGGGTGGGTCCACAGGAGACAGTTTCAGTCTATGAGATAAGGTGCTAGCCTCGTCACCAGATAAGGAAAATATACATTTCAAGTGAAGCTGGAGAAAAGCTTGTTGCCAAAATGTAGGATTTCTTGGTATCTGGTGATGAAACATCATTTCCCAAGTTGTAGATGGGATTCATTTAGAAAAAGGGGGCTGGATCTCATGGTTTGGCTTGAGGAGTTCCCTGCAAACTCTCTTTTATCTGAGCCCAGAAAGCTGCATCTGCCTTTCATTAGATTGTGAGTTCTCCTACATGAATATTGCCCAGTGCTGTGTCCTGCCATGCCCCTGTGGCCTGAAATAATGAATTAAATCATATTTGCTTCCTTCCTTTCTTTCACCAGGGTATCCAGTTAATCAAGTTTGGCTGAGCTTGTCTCCCAAATACTATCAAATATGTTCACCCCTTTCCTCCCCAGCTTCTACTGCTCTAGTTCAGATCCACAGCAACTTTTGCTTGGACCATTGCTGTCGGCCCCATTTCCAATCGAACACTCCTCTAATCAGGGTCATTGTGCACGGTTGGGCAGTTTGTGTACTGCACATAGGTGCCTGGGCAAGCAGGTTAGTGGGCTGAAGTGTAGTCTATATTCCTATACTCTGGTGTCGGCCTCTGTCCATCTGGTGAAAGTAACTTTGCAAACAATTTTATTGGATTTTATTTTATTTTTTAAAAAGAAATAGAGATGAGGTCTCATTACTTTGTCCGGGCTGGTCTCAAACTCCTAAGCTCAAGTGATCCTCCTGCCTTGGCCTCCAAAAGTGTTAGGATTACAGGCATGAGCCACTGTGGCTGGCCAAAAGTAACTTTATAATTTGTACATAGGTGCAATCCTGGTGGCACAGGCCTGCACTGTCCAATACACTGGCCACATTTTACTTAATTAAAATGATGTGAAATGTAAAGTTTAGTTTCTCAGTCATGCTAGAAAATTTACAAGTGCTCAACAAGGCCAAATGTGTCTAGTGGCTACTGTATCAAGCAATATAGGTAGAGAAAATTTTCGCCATCACAGAAAGTTATATTGCACAGCACCGGACAGACCCTGCTTCTAAACAATTCTACACAATTTGCTAGGTGAATGATCTTTGATGCAAAGCTAAACATGGTTTTCCTTTGCTCAAAAGCCTTCAATGATTTTCACTTCCATCAGCAGCAATCAGTTAACAGTTTTTTTTTCCTTTCAAAAATGGTTGTAATGGAAAGTTAATAGATTTTGAATCAATTTTGTGGGTTACAACCAGCATTAAAAACAAAAAAATACCAAAAGAGAGTAGAAGGAAAAGTACTTATAGATCGTTAGTACAATTTTGTGAAATTTTTGTTTCGGTTATACATATATTTCTTTATCTCTATATCTAGATTTCCACCTCTTCATAACTTGATGTCTGTATGATATTCCGTGGGGATGCAATGAAAAAAATCTTTCTAGCTTCGTGTGGTGAGCAAAAAAAATGGGAAAAATTTGGGCTCATGGGTTTTGAAGTCTGAGCTCTGTAACGCAGCATGTAAGGTCCTCTGTGATCGGATCCCTCGCTAATTCCTTTCTAACTCTCGCCACTGTCTTGCACTTATATTGCATTAATAAAGAACTGCTACTGGTTTCACCTGAGACACAAAGCTTTATTTTTCTTTTCTTTTTTTCCATCTCTATGCTTTTGCTCATTCTGAACCGTTTCCTTGGACTGCCAGTTCTATCTTCTTTTTGCCTGGAGAACTTCTGCTCATCATCTAAGGCCAACTTAGGAAACACTTGCAGCAGGAATTCTGCCTAAGTGCTTCACGGCGGGCTGGCTGTCCTTCTTTGACCTTTCAGACCAACACACGAACATCCGTTTACGGGGTTATAATGCTGTAATTATTAATTTAGGTGTTCATTTCCGGCTTTATACTAAGTTCTTTCAATGCAAGTACTATCTTGTTCATATTTGTATCTGAAGCAAGAAGCGCGGTGCCTGGAACAAATTAGGCACTCATTCAATAAATATTTGTTGAAAGAATAAACGCGAGAAGGAAGGAAAAATCAATCAATCAACTGTGTGGATCAGGTCAGTGCAAAGCAGGCTCCGGTCATCAGAGGGCGCCAGCGCGGCTGGGCTGGTGCGCAGGCGCGCTGGGGGGGGGCGGGCGCCGCGGCGGCGGCGGCGGCGGCGACGGTCGTGGCTGCGGCCGGGGGAAGTGAATGGTTTTACCCAGAGGGCCCTGCGCCGCCTTTCTCCGTTGGCACCGGCGCCGCTCCCCGCTCCTCCTCCCCGGCCATGGCGTTCACATTCGCGGCCTTCTGCTACATGCTGGCGCTGTTGCTCACCGCCGCGCTCATCTTCTTCGCCATTTGGCACGTGAGTCGCCGGGGCTAGGGGAAGGAGGGCGAGGCGGCGGCGCAGCGTCTTTTCGCCCCGGGCCTGCAGTTGGGGCAGCTACGGCCCCCTGGGTCTGCGCGCCGGGGATGCGGCCGGGGCGGTGCGGACAGCGCGGCTAGGGGTCTGCGCGCCGTCCGTCCGCGGTCTGGAGTCCGCGGGTACTGGAGGAGCCGTGGCGCGCGGTCGCCGGGTGGATGCGCCCGCGGTGTCTCGGCGCAGGCCGCGCGCACCGCTACTCCTCCCCGGCTGGGTGGGGCGGTCGCGGTCCAGGCGGGCCCTTGCGGTTCCGCGCAGCGCTTGCACAGACCTCGGCCGACCCGCGGCCCCGCATCCTCAGGGAGGATGCCTCTGGCGAGGTGGTACGGGCGTAGTGTGAACGGAGTTTTCAGAATTTTTATTAATACCGATTGCCTTTCTTTTAGGGTTTCCACAGGACTCTGGCCAAAGTGTAACCTACTTAGGGTGAATTTCCAACTCTACTTTTCAGCATTTGTTGGGTGCGCTTCAAATAAAATCACTTGTTTTTCTTTTTCCAGATTGTTCTTTCCTGGTGAACTTTGATGCAAGTTGGACTGATTTAGTTTGTTGATTGCATGTTCGCGTTACCCCCGCAAATCATACTTTGACCGCTGGAGTTTCAACCCGCAGCCTTCCAAGCCACCCCTATAGTCAGGATTGCTTGATTTAGTAGAGGGAGTTTTCATTTGATTTTGAGATGCTCAGAAACCTTAAGCTTTTCTGGAGCAGTATTTATTTCTGTTTCACACATCATCCCTATTGCAAGGGTGGAAGCACAGTCTTACTGGTGCCTGTAAGGAGAAAGTACTAGTTCCCTGTGACATAGTTCCGCAGAGATTTTTAAGAATTTCTGTTGCTCGAGCACAAAATTGAAAGCATTGGGAGCCCTCTGGGAGTCAACATTCATTAAAAATTTATCTCATACTTGCTATTTTCCCCATATTCCAGTACCTTCTGGAATATTGCTTTTAATTTGAATGAGCATGTTTACTCTGATGTAGATTTTAAGTCAGGTTTCATCATGTCCATAACAAGGATTTCTATGAAACGTAAGGAGGGACAGAATGATTAAATAGCAGCAGCGTCTTGTGCAAAAAGGTTTCCAAAGTGGAAGGATATCACAAATCCATTTCTTTTTGCCAAGCAGTGTGATTGTAATTATTTTGGGACCTGACTGCTTATTGTAATCAGGAATACTTATGTAGGCTATTAACTGTGTCAGAAATAACTGCTAATTCAGAATGCTTGTCAGTAGGAACCAGTAATTTGAAGAGCGTCTTCAGCTCTGCTTTGGTGGAAGAACAATACGTAAAATAATTTGGGATACAGACTAGCTCAGCCTTAGTAACCCTCTGAAGAAAATGTGTGGTTCCGTTTCATCTGTAGACGTAGCTTTAAGTCACTCTCTGCTTCATGGGTGTTCCTTTTTTCTGGGATGAGGGATTCTTAGAGCTGTGGGATAGCCTTTTTCACATTTTTATGTTTTGAACCAGGTTGTGTTTGGCTTAAGGAAAACCTGAACTGCACTTTAAAAAAAATGGGCAATTTAATTTCAGCTTTGAAACGAACGCTTGTCGGGGCAAAGCAGATAATTTTAAGTCGTGTTATAGAATTTAAAATTATGTCACGGATTTGTGGAGAGCTTTTATGCTTAAGGATTTCTTCGTTCAGAGAATTAGTATCCTCTTAAAAACAATTCTAAATAGATAGTTTTAATTTTTCTATTATCCATAAAACCTTATGTTTATTTTCTTAGGTAGTATCCTAGTCCATTTGTGTTGCTGTAAAGGAATATGGGAGGCTGAGTAATTTACAAAGAAAAGGGGTTTATTTGCCTCAGGATTCTGCTGGCATCTGGTGAAAGCCACAGGCTGCTTCCACTCATGGGCCGGGAGCAGTGCGTAGAGATTCCACAGTGAGAGGAAGCAAAGGAAAAAGAGGGGGAGGTGCCAGGTGCTGTTTAACAACTAGTTATCTTGGGTACTAATAGCAGGAGAACTTACTTATTCCCTCCAAGTTGACACCAAGCCATTCATGAGGGATCTGCCACCTTGACCCAAACACCTCCCGTTAGATCCCACCTCCAACGTTGGGGATCAGATTTCAACCTGAGATTTGGAGGAGTTAAAAACCGAACTGTAGCAGGTAGTTGATGTACCTTTCAGAAGATTCATTTTACAGTTTTAAAATTACATTCCCAAAATCTTATTTACATTAATCATTGTATTAAATAATGTTTTTTATGCTGATGATTATATTTGTCAATTTAGTCCTAATTCACATCGTTGATGCTCTGTGGAGAATAGAGTTGGGAACATAGATTGTTTGCAAAATTGAAAGTGCAGAAGTCATTCTTTAAAGATGTACATCAAATTGGAAGGTAGCCTGAATTGTGTACTTGGCATCTTTAAGGACTTATCTGTTTTATTTTTGTTATACTTCTGTGGGAAATTTTGTGGGTGTCTTTGCTCAGCCACATAGCTGCAGAAATATTCGAAAATCATTAGTTTAGGAATCTGCTCAGAAGAGGTTCTCAGACCCTAGCCTATAGCAACTCAAACAGAAGCCCATTCAACAACATACTTAAAAGATCCCTTGTGGCCGAGCACGGTGGCGCATGCCTGTAATCTCAGCACTTTCGGAGGCCAAGGCAGGTGGATCACCTGAGCTCAGGAGTTTGAGAACAGCCTGGGCAACATGGTAAAAATCCTATCTCTGCAAAAAATACAAAAATTAGCCAGGCATGGTGGCATGCACCTGTAGTCCTAGCTACTCCGGAGGCTGGGGCAGGAGAGTCACTTGAGCCAAAGAGGTGGAGGTTGCAGTGAGCTGAGATTGTGCCACCGCACACCAGCCTGGATGACAGAGTGAAACCCTGTCTCAAAAAAAAAAAAAAAAAATCCCTTAAAGTCACCTGAAGAAAATGTCCAATTAAATGTCAGTATTAAAGATGTGTTTTGTATTCTATTAAGTTAGATCTTGTTATAGACGTACTTACGATTATGATCCTTGTCTTGAACTTGACTACTAAAATGCATTGGGGATACACTGTGGCTGGTGTCAGGTAGCTGACTAATAATGTCCATAAGTAATCAGAAATTAGTATTTTCTAATTACATATTTATATTTTTAACATTTGTGTTAGGTGTCATTAGCCAAGGAAAATCCCTCCTGGTGAGTTCCATACGTTTTTAATCCCTAGTTCTATTTTTTCACCCCCCTCCTTCCATGTAATAAATATTTATTGAGCACTTAATGTGTGCCAGGCACTATTTTATATTTTAGGCCCTGGGACATAATAGTAAATACAACAGTCTTGGTTCTTTCAGATATTACATTTTAATGTTTTATTATTTTCTTTCTATTGCTCTTTGGTTGGAGTTTTTATTAAGACAGGTTGGTGAAATTTATAAAACTCTGGAAATTGAAAGAAAACTTATCTTTTTATGAAACTAAGAATTTTAATAGGGAAATAAGCAGTCATGTTAAAAGATGGAAATGTGTAACTTTACTGATTACTGATGGTATTGATCAACACCATTTCACAAATAAAGATACTATTCCTAACTCATTAGGGGAAGGGTAGCTTAGGGTGTGTGTCCCTGGGGTGAGCAGTGTTAGCAACTAAAATGACTCCCCCATCAATTTGCTCCCTTTGTCTTTCTTTGACACTTGAATTGATGCCACAAAGTGGTGCATAGTCTCTATTTTGACTCGTAACATACATGCTAGTGACCCTTGAGGTTGAAGTCATGTTCCCCCAGAGTGTGGACAAAAGCATCCTTAGAAACCTATGTGTTTGGGCACAAATGGGAACAAATTGAAGAGTTTGAGTCCATCTCTAGTGTCCCACTGAGCACTGTGCCAAGGGAGGAGGAGCATGCACAAAGAAATAAAAATGGTCCTTCTCCCTGAGAGTGTAGAGGGGCAGACAGACCTGTATTTAAATACCACACTCCAGTATGAGAAAAGCCATATCGATGGCATTATAGAGTCCTGTGCTATGTGGAGATGTAGACAAGGTTGCAATTCTTCTGCCCAAAGGAGTTAGGAAAACCTACAGAAAGCAGTTGGCATAGGAAGGTTTTTTTTTTTTTTTTTTTTTTTTTAGGATAAAGAGGAATTTGGATAAACAGTTGAAATGATTTTTTCTACTTGGAAGATTATATTAAGCAGAGATAAGTTAAAATAACTTGAGCGAGGCATTGAAGATGTTGGAAATTGAAAGTATTTATTCCAGTGATACCAGATCATTTTAGTGATACTGACCTAAGAGTGTTTTTACTTCTTTAAGTCGGATTCTGGCTCTTCTTTTTGTCGTATATGAGTTTGCTATAAATTGGTACTTGTGATGTTGGTGTACTTTTGTTCTTGTTTTATTAACTTTAATAATTATTTGAAGATAGGGCAGGTTTGCTTCTCCTTTTTATTAAAGTGAGTGGTCCTAACTGTTTTAATTTTGTTTTAGATTATAGCATTTGATGAGCTGAAGACTGATTACAAGAATCCTATAGACCAGTGTAATACCCTGAATCCCGTAAGTTATAATATAGGATTTATCTTTGGATTTTAAAAGTATATTTGTTTTTAACTTGATGTAATTTGAAAATGGCCAATATTCTCAGTAGCATGATGTATTTATACTTTTTGAAATGGGTAGAATTTTAAAAATCTTCTTTTTCCTGTCGTGCTTGACTATTCTGACTATTATTAATCTGCTGGTGATCTTGTCAGCTGTCATACTAACATTCTTCCAATCTGCTTTTTACATTGTCGGCCAAAGACAGTTGAAAAGGTCAAAAAGATTAAAAGAGTCAAAATTGCATTAAAGGTGTGTACTGCTTTTTAGTTTAATGTTTTAACGCTCTGTTCATTTCATGGGGAGGGTTAGGCATTTGTATTTGTAATGTTTTGTTCAGTGTGCTCGTTCATACGCCTGTTGAGGTTTATGATTTCATGAAATGTCATATTTTATGCAAATATATGCTTGCTGGCCCAGTCAAGTAGGGAAAGCTGTTAAATGCGTATGCATTTTTTTATGTTATAGCCATAGGCACTTCTCTATGAAATTATTTGGTGTAGTACTTGAAAGTTGGTTAACATAAAATGACCAGCAGATGTTGAGATAATTCTCGAGTTGTGACTTATTGTGAGGTAGTATGTGACTGAAATCCTTAGTATGGACTTATCTGCCATATCGAGTTTTATCTTTGTTGTGTATGTTCTGGAATACATGAGTCATTCTTTCAGCTGATGTTTATTCAGAGCCTGTTAGGTGGATAGTTCTGTTCTGGGTACTTTGGGATCTTGCAGTAATGCCATTCTTTGGACTTAGGGTCCCATAATTTTGTAGATAATTTGTATACAAATGTCTATGTAGTTATTTCTAGTGTGTATCTGCTTTATATTTCTAAAACAGGCCTGAATTACACTAAGTTCTGAGCCATCATGAATTTAGTGATAATGTGACTCCATTGTGCGTAGGGATTTTGAAAAAACATGTATGTATGTATTTTTAAGTTTTGAGCTGGAGGTCTCGCTATATTGCCTAGGCTCGTATCAGACTCCAGGGTCAAGCGATCCTTCTGCGTCAACCTGCTGGGTGGCTGGGATTACAGGCGTACACCAGGGTACCCAGCTTGTTTTTTATATTTTTGACTGCATTTAGGAAGATTCTCCTTTAGCCCGTGTATTTGATTTTGCCTGATTGGTCAGGAATTGAAACGTTGTTTATAAGAAAGCAGTGGGTATGTCTTCAAGAAATAAACTACAGTAATTCAGCTTTAAAAATTACTTAATGAAGGGGAGAGTTTGTATAGATTTTAGTTGTCTAGCATACTAGTGTACTAGCACTAGTTTGCTGGAGGGATTTTATTTGGAAAAGCATCTATAGAGTTAGTTTGTTACTTTATTATTGTTTCCCAGATAAACATGGATGGTGGAAGAGATTTCTAGTTGGAACTGTTACAGTAAGAGTTGATGTAGGTTCAATTAAAAGTATTAACTTATTAGTTGTTTCTTTGCTCTTATGAAACGAGACATGAGATGAATTTGCCTTCTGTTGGAAAGTAGTGTTAATTGTAAAACATTTTAACCTAAGTAGTTGAAGTTGTTACCAAAAAATGAAGAAACTGAAATTTCCCCTTTTGATAGCTGTTTATTAATAGTATTCTATGCTGTTTGTCTTTTCATCACTTCAAATAACCAAATGATAATGAAGGTAAAAATATCTGAAATCAGATGAGGATTTACCTGGGTGCTAGGCTCTGCACTAAGCACTTTGACTAAATTTTTTCATTTAATCCTCATGAGAATCCTGAGGTAGGTATATTGTTATCTTACGAATAGGAGAGTAAACTGAAGCTTTGCGTGGTTAAAGCACTTTGCCGAAGGTCATACAGCTAAAATAGAGTCAGCATTTGAACTCAAGACAGCCTAATTTTTGAAGCTCAGGCTCTTGTATTTCCTTAATGTATTATAAATTTAAGAGGGACTGGTTTCATTTTAACATGTAATGTGTGATTTCTGGCTTTCCTTAATGGAAGGATATTCTCACTGAGAAAAGACATGTGCTTGGGTCATCCTAATGCTGCAGTAGGTTGAAGGACGTTTTTATAGCAGCACAGGTTGCGTTTTGGATAGGGTGCCGATAATTGGCTGAATAGCAGTGCATCTGACAGTTTTCCCTATTTAAATTTGTTTTGACAGTTCTGCCAAAGTATGGGGGAAGACAAATATCGCTATTTTTTAAATTGTGATCTTTAACAAGAGAATATTATGTTTTGCATGTTTAAATACTATCATTTCAGCCATATTTGCATGAGGTATTTTTTCTGGATACTAGTTTCTATTTGAACCTTGGTTCCTAAGTGGAATAATGTTTGTGTCACTTAGGGGGAATTTCATCATTAAAGAATGCTTGGAGAGGGTTGGTTTTTAAAGAGAGATTCGTAGTAAATGTTTCTGGACTCCTTTTGAGGAGAAGGGAGGGAATGACAGTTGTTTCATATTAGAATTGGTAGAGTCGTAGATTATCTTTATTAACACTTTTGTTAAAGTATATTAAGAGCGGGGTGGGGCGGTCATGCTTTCAAAATTATTCTTTCCATATTTCAGTCTGTAAGTGTAGGATGAAACCTTGCTTGTTAGGTATCAGTTGGTTTTATAGGGCTGAAATAGGCTTGTCATGTTTTAAGGACACTTCTGTAATTTAAGTTACTGTTATAAAAACAACTCTAATGGAACTCTTAAAATGTGTATTTTTCTTGGTTGGTTCTGTTTATAGTCTTTGAGTTTCAGAGTCCTATGCCCATTTTCTTGTTTAGAGAACTTTGATCTTAAATAGATGCCAGTTTAAATGTTAGTTACAAGTTTGTATACAGGTGCACAGTTTATCTTTTGTTATTATATTGCTTAAGTTGTAGAAAATATTTGGTTAGTGGTGTAGATCAATTGTTTACCTACATTTCATTTAAAATACTATTCATTAAAAAGTCCCCTCTACAGCTTTAAATTGCAAAGAGTAGTTTGGGAGCATGAGAAAATGGGCTTCAGTATGTAGTGTGATTCTATTTTATCTACAGCCATAGTTTCCCCTCAGGAGTGATCTGATGATAATAATTATTCATATGATTTCCATTTGGTATGAAGTAAACATTTGAGAAACTGCTTTGTAGCTGTGACTTAATAGGAAACGCTTTGGCTGAAACTTGCAATGAGAGGTTTTGGTATTTTTATTTAACGGAGTCATCAGGCTGAAATCTGTAGGATGAGAAAGATAATTTAAAATAAAGCATTAACTCCTGTTCATTTTATAAAAAACATGTTACGTGAATTAATTTTTCTTCACTTAATATTACCTCTACCTACTTATTTTGTTTTGGGGTTCTGAGCTTCTACTGGTCTTCTGTTCTGTCTGTAGCATTTTGTTGGCAAGCAGGCGTAAAGAAACGGAAAGGCCATCTAAGAATGAGAACTTGGGAACCTGGAAAATCCTAATTACATGGTTAAGAACTCGGTCTTTTCCCTCCTACATTGCAGAAAGCAAATCTTTTACATTTGTGCACATTAGTGTTCTTCCCCCCACTGTGCTGAGATTATTGGCTGATTGGCTTTCCATAAAAAGTGACTTCTGTGGGAAGGTGATGTGGTTTGCTAAATATTGTGTATGTAGCATTTCTGGTTTCTTAAAAACACTAATGTGTAAAATTCTAAAGGGGAGTTTTGTTTCTGTGAAATTTTAAATATGTTGCATGTGATCAGATATCTCATTTTTGTGCTTCTATCATTGTTAAATGGTGGAAAGAAAAAGTATTCTAGTTGGCTGGAAAATTGTTTAACAGTCTGGTTAGTAACTTTGTGTAATTTGATCTATTACTCTTAAGAATTGGAGCTTTAAATTTTAAGTCATATATCTTACTGTGTTAGTGCAAGCTATATGCTCTGGTCGGTTTGCTTGTAATCCTACTTTTGGTAAAAAATTAAACATGGAAATAAAACTCAGTAGCATTTTTATTTTGGAGTCCAAGAAAATAGTGATTTTTCATTATAGAAACTTGGTTGCCACCTGCTTTCCAGATTAGCAGTTGACTTAATGACAAGGCATTTTGATAACTGGCTTGTGTTTTCCTTCCAGCTTGTACTCCCAGAGTACCTCATCCATGCTTTCTTCTGTGTCATGTTTCTTTGTGCAGCAGAGTGGCTTACATTGGGTCTCAATATGCCCCTCTTGGCATATCATATTTGGAGGTAATATTTAGATATACTTTTAATATTTTTTAAAATAAAACCTTAAATATACTGTGGTTGATATGGTTATCTTACATGCTAGTCACCTACATAAAAATTGAAGATTAAACTGGACACTATGGCTCACGCCTGTAATCCCAGCACTTTGGGAGGCCGAGGCGGGCGGATCATGAGGTCAGAAGATTGAGATCATCCTGGCCAACATGGTGAAACCCTGTCTCTACTAAAAATACAAAAATTAGGTGGGCGTGGTGGTGCATGCCTGTAATCTCAGCTACTCGAGAGGCTGAGGCAGGAAAATCACTTGAACTAGGGAGTTGGAGGTTGCAGTGAGCCAAGATTGCACCACTGCACTCCAGCCTGGCGACAGAGCGAGACTCTGTCTCAAAAAAAAAAGAAAAAAAGTTGAAGATTAGTTGACATTTATTTTTTAAATAATCGAGTAGATGAACAAAAACTGTTTTAATATCTCTTACAGAACTTTATTTATTTATTTGTTTTTTGAGACGGAGTTTCGCTCTGTCATCCAAGCTGGAGTAGTGGCGTGTTCTTGGCTCACTGCAACCTCGCCTCCTGGGTTCAAGTGATTCTCCTACCTCAGGGTGCTGAGTGGCTGGGATTACAGGCGTGCCCCAACTGGCTAATTCTTGTATTTTTCGTAAAGACGGGGTTTCACTGTGTTGGTCAGGCTCGCCTCAAACTCCTGAACTCATGATCTGCCTGCCTTGGCCTCCCAAAATGCTGGGATTACAGGTGTGAGCCACTGCGCCCAGCCAAGCTTACTTTATTTTTAAAGGATTTTTTTTTAAAAAGTGAGGTATAACTTAAGGTGTTGTGCCCAAGTCTGAAGTATATAGCTCAACGAATTTCTACACATATATACACACCTGTTAAACCACCACCCAGATCAAGATACACAACAGTTGTAGCCTCTAGAGCATTCACTTGTGCCCCATCCCAGTGAGTTACCCTCCATACTTCCCAAGGCCACTGACCTTTATCAACTTAGATTAGCTTTGTTTGTCCTTGAACTTCAGATAAGTCCAAATGTACAATGTGTGTCTAATTTCTTTGTGTTGATAACGAATTAATTTGGTTATTTGTAAAAGATAATCATATTTTATAACTTCCATAGTTAAATCTGCCATATATAGAGTTAGAAGTTTTTTTTTTTAATAGGCATGTCAAAACCTTATTGCCCTTGATTTTAGGAGATATATACTGAATAAATATTTAGGAGTAAAGTGGTATCATGTCTACAATGGCCTCTGAAATGATTCAGAAAAAAATGTACTTGGCTGGGTGCGGTAGCTCATGCCTGTAACCCCAGCACTTTGGGAGACTGAGGTGGGCGGATCACAAGGTCAGGAGTTCAAGACCAGCCTGGCCAAGATGGTGAAACCCCATCTCTATTAAAAATATAAAAATTAGCTGGACGTGGTGGCGGGTGCCTGTAATCCTAGCTACTCAGGAGGCTGAGGCAGAGAATTGCTTGAATCCCGGAAGCAGAGGTTGCAGTGAGCCAAGATTGCACCACTGCACACCAGCCTGGGTGACAGAGCGAGACTCCATTCCCAAAAAAAAAAAAAAGTACCGAGGGCCAGGTGCAGTGGGGCATGCCTGTAATCCTAGCACTTTGAGAGGCTGAAGCAGGTGGATCACTTGAGCCCAGTAGTTGGAAAACAGACAGGGCAACATGGCGAAACCCCCCTCTCTACCAAAAATACAGAAAAATTAGCCAGGCATGGTGGCATGTGCCTGTAGTTCCCGCTACTTGGGAGACCAAGGCAGAAGGATTGCTTGAGCCCAGGAGCCTGAGGTTGTGGTGAGCTGAGATTGTGCCACTGTATTCCAGCCTGGGTGACAGGGTAAGACCCTGTCTCCAAAAAAAAAAAAGTACCCAGAATGAGAAACAGAAGGTTAAAGCAAATGTAGTAAAAATGGATATTTGGAATATCTGGGTGAAAGGTTCTTACATCTTTTCTGTAAGTCTAAAATTATGTCAAGGTAAATAAAAACAAAACATCTATTTTTACAGTTCTTCCTGTTTTTCTTGGATTTCTGAAAAGGCAGAGACTAGATGAAACCTGTTTAGCTGTCTCATTCTGCTCATTTAGGGGCTCTACTTTTAAAATTAAGATGATAAAAGGAAAGCATTTTGCCCATAAGTAAAATAATGCTTCCTTGTATGGACCATCTCTGGTAACAGATGTTTCAGAAGAAGGATCCTCTGTCTCATCTGAATGTTTGCTGCCCCTTCTGAATGCCTAATAGACTGTGTTTATTCCAGGTATATGAGTAGACCAGTGATGAGTGGACCAGGACTCTATGATCCTACAACCATCATGAATGCAGATATTCTAGCATATTGTCAGAAGGAAGGATGGTGTAAATTAGCTTTTTATCTTCTAGCATTTTTTTACTACCTATACGGGTAAGTTTAAAAGGTAAAATGAAATATGATTTCACTTTGCTGTTTTAAAAGTTTGCAGGCATTATGGTTTGAGCACCTTAAAATCCACTCGAAGAATAACTTAGTGTCTTAAGTGTTCATGGTGCACACCAGCAAATTCATACACATTGAATGTGGCCCACACTGGTGCTTGTGAAGGCAGTAAGCCAGTTTGCCATCAGAGGCAGAAGGTTTGGTCAGGGATGCTGCTTCCTAAGTTTTCAGACACGTTGAATCGGTAAAGGATGGTCCTCATTCTGCATGGAAGAGTGATGGCATTGAAGGATAGGGATGTGTGAGTTTGTAGAATTTTCTGCTTGTCTTCAGTATCTCTCCAGAGATTGTGTTTCTTTTTGTTCTTATTATTCATCATAAGTGGTGTGCTCTGCCCTTTATTTTCTGATTTGCTTGATGTGAGTCGGGTGAATGAAAGTAGTAGTTCTACCTTACAGGTGGTGCATTTTCTGATTTTTTTCCTTTTCTTGTTTGAGATGGAGTCTCACTCTGTCGCCCAGGCCGGAGTGCAGGGGCGCGATCTTTGCTCACTGCAACCTCTGCCCCCTGTGATTCTCCTGCCTCAGCCTCCCGAGTAGCTGGGACTACAGGCATGTACCACCATGCCTGGCTAATTTTTGTATTTTTAGTAGAGATGGGGTTTCACCATGTTGGCCAGGCTGATCTTGAACTCCCGACCTCAGGTGATCTGTCTGCCTTGACCTCCCAAAGTACTGGGATTACAGGCATGAGCCACTGTGCCTGGCCTGATTTTTTTTCCTTTTATACTCTGATGGACTCATCGTTGTTTCTCTAGGTTGGGGTTTCTCAATTTTGGCACTGTTGACGATTCTGGGCTGTGTGGGAATTTCCGTTGGAAGCTGTCCTGTATATCATAGGATGTTTAGCAGCATCCCTGGCCTTTACCCACTGATGCCATTAGCACCCTCCTGCCCTCCTCATGACAACTAAAAATGTCTCTTGACATTGCCAGATGTCCTGAGAGGCAAAATTGCCCTGGTTGAGAATCACTACCTATAGGTGTGTTGTAGGTGCAGTGAAATGACTGCTTTTTAAAACTAGAAAATGATGCTGTTAAGTGTGGAATTATAGATTTCTTTAAGCTATATGAATATACTTTTACACATTATTTACATATTCTAGAAAATACCTTCTCATTTTTATTGATATACAACTAGAGAGGGCTTTCCTCCCTGATTTAAAAATATTTCAAAAAAATCTGTAAACTTTGAAAAAACAGCAGCTTCCATTCCCTCTCTTTTTCATGACTTGAAAACTTGCTAGGCTAGGCTTTTATTCATATTCATATTTCTCTTTATACATAAGTTTCCATCATAGAAAAGGATGAATGGTTAGACTGAAATTTAGGAAAAAGCTATTTTTATGCTTTTAGAGGCTATTACTGTGAAAATGAGTATCCTTTAGAGCATATGCAGATTATTACTCATCTATGAAACAAAGAAATGCTCTGAAAAGTGAAATTCCGTGTGTCATTTTAATTTCCTGTTGATTTTCATTTTGTAAGTTTCCATAGTAAATGTCTGGAACAAGGCTGGCATATTAATAGGCATGTCAAATGTATTTGTTGAATGAAAGAAATGAAATGAATGACTGAATAAATGATAAAGCTGGAGATGTGCAGTTGTGGGAAAATGTTCACCAGGAAATGGTAGCACCAGGACATTTGTTCTGTTTTAAAGTTGTCTATCAAGTTTGTTCAACTCCTTGCTTTGTATTTCTGTTTAGAGATTCATGCTTTTTGAACCATGCCCCGGTACCTTTCCCATATCATTCTGTGTAGAATGGCCCTTGGCAGTTCTTAAGCCTAAATCAAATGGTTACTGCCTTTTATTTTGCTGTTTCCTGCCCCCTTCCTTTTTTAACCGCTTCCTAAAAGTTATGCTCTTGCTTAGAGCCTTTGTCTAATGGGAAAGATCGTTGATTGATCATTCCCTTCTATATAATGGGGTTACATGTGGTACCTGCCTTCTAGGACTGCGTGGAGGATTAAGCAAGGTAATGTGGATAAAAGACCTAACAGGGCCTAGAGTGAAGTGAGCCCTGCAGAGATGCTCACTCCTATTATTAGACACAACTCCAGAGCAGTGTGGTGTTTGGATAGCTTCTCTAAGCTCTGATCCCCCATGAAGCTTTCAGCTGTGCTGTTCTACTTGCTAAAATTGGAAAGGAAGTAGAGGACAACTGCAGCACATGCACTGAGCCAAGTCCTATGCAGGCAAAAGTCCATAAATGCAAATGACCATCGCTGTGAACTTGTCATTAGTCTTTTCATTTTCTGTGATACTAGTTTGCCGTAGAAAGCATATTTTCTCATGCTCTGAGTTTTTTTTTTATAATTAGGAATATTAAAATTAACAGCTTTTTTCTTCTTTTCAGCATGATCTATGTTTTGGTGAGCTCTTAGAACAACACACAGAAGAATTGGTCCAGTTAAGTGCATGCAAAAAGCCACCACATGAAGGGATTCTATCCAGCAAGATCCTGTTTCCAAGAGTAGCCTGTGGAATCTGATCAGTTACTTTAAAAATGACTCCTTATTTTTTAAATGTTTCCACATTTTTTGCTTGTGGAAAGACTGTTTTCATATGTTATACTCGGATAAAGAATTTAAATGGAATTACATATAAATTAATATAAAATGATTACCTCTGGTATTGACAGGTTTGAACTTGCACTTCTTAAGGAACAGCCATAATCCTCTGAATGATGCATTAATTACTGACTGTCTTAGTACATTGGAAGTTTTTGTTTATAGGAACTTGTAGGGCTCATTTTGGTTTCATTGAAACAGTATCTAATTATAAATTAGTTGTAGATATCAGGTGCTTCTGATGAACTGAAAATGTATATCTGTCTAGTGGGAAACTTCTTGGGTTTTCTCATCTGTCATGTAGATGATTATATATGGATACATTTACAAAAATAAAAAGCGGGATTTTTCCCTTTGACTTGATACTATCCCTGTATATTGCATGAATGAGAGATTTCCCATATTTCCATCAGAGTAATAAATATACTTGCTTTAATTCTTAAGCATAAGTAAACATGATATAAAATATATATGCTGAATTACTTGTGAAGAATGCATTTAAAGCTATTTTAAATGTGTTTTTATTTGTAAGACATTACTTATTAAGAAATTGGTTATTATGCTTACTGTTCTAATCTGGTGGTAAAGGTATTCTTAAGAATTTGCAGGTACTTTAGATTTTCAAAACTGAATGAGAGAGAAAATTGTATAACCATCCTGCTGTTCCTTTAGTGCAATACAATAAAACTCTGAAATTAAGACTCACTTTCAGTGGATTGTTTGAGATTACAAATAGTGTTTCTTAAACTTGCTTAATTTATAAGCTGTCATTTTTTAAAAAGTGGAGACAATTTTTAAATGCCGAGCCCATTTACGGTAACTCTTTCGTCATTTGACAAGATTCATAAATGTGGATGGCATAGCGTCATTTCTCTTACCAATTAAGAAAAATTATGGTGGCACTTAAAATATTTTACTTTTATTATTCCTTTTTGGAACAGTCGGTTTTAAGGTAAAATGGCTTGTAATTTGAGTTTTTGCTGCTGCTTGTAAGGCAGGGAAATTATGGCTTGCATGTTTTTATAAGCATAAATAAATCTTGTGCTTTATTTGGAAAGAGGAACTTAAGGCAGTTGAAAATAGTACAAGTGGTTCAGAAGTTTCTTGAGAAGAGGATTGAAAGAAAGAGAACCAGTATATAGAAATTTCACATAATGATCAAGGGAGTTTATGGATGTGTTTGTGGAAATCTTACTCTAATAACTTGTTGGATTTAGATGCTGTTTTATTCTCTACTTGTGGAAAAAATGCCTTATTTCACCATGGTTGGGAGACAGAGAGTAGCTGTTAACTGTTCTTGTTAATGGGGGTGAGTATGTTAAGGAAGAGATGTAGAACCAGAAGAGTGAGGAGACTCGAACCATTCCAAAGCAAGGAAATCTTTAAAGACCTTGTATTTTACACTCTGGCGAACTCCTAGAGGGACCTGACTCCTCATCAGTTCATGCAAAAAATTATTTGCTGAGCAATTGCTGGGCTCTAAAAATTCATACTTTAAGCACAAGCAATCACTCAGTTTCCAGTCAACCTAATTACGTCAGCATCCATTTATTTTTCTTTCTTGTTCACAAGGACTTTTGATCATGAGAGACCTGGCCAAGTCTTCCATAATCCCGATGGGTTTCCTGGGGCCGTTACTTGAGTATTCCTGTCAAAATATTTTCATGAACTTGCCTCTGTTAACACTAGTTTCCTTCATAAGTGTTAACAAATATCCTTTTAATAATCTATTCCAGAATAGTCTCCAGGAGTAAGTTTACTGGTTGGAATTTGTGGAAGCCACTTTCTCAAGTTTCCCAAATTAGATATGTAGTCCTCAGCTGATTCCTCAAAGATGATTGACAGTGAAGTTCACCCATCTCTGTGGTAGGCTGTTAGGCACGTAAGTGATTAGAAGACTGAGGACCTGCTCTCCTAATATCTACCCACTTTTACCATATCAGTGTTTTATGAATTAGATCGCTTACCAAGAGAAAGCAGAAACAAAATACTTGAATCTCACAGTATCGGACAGGCTCTTTTTATTGCTCTAGATTTATTTTCCACATTAATCTCTTTGGGGTGGCCCTAGCCTATTATTCCTACAGGTTCAGCTGAGGCATAGTTAGCCAGCTTGGGTTTATAATCCAGTTTGTGTTAAACATTCCCTGTGCATCAACAGCTGTTCATTTAGGTACTCCTTTTTTTTTTTTTTTTTTTCCCTATTACAGTTACTTTTGGTATTATGTGCTTATCTTTAAAAGCTTTCCAAAAAATTAGCCAGGCATGGTGGTAGATGCTTATAGTCCCAGCTATTTGGGAGGCTGAGGCAGGAGAATCGCTTGAACCTGGGAGGCAGAGGTTCCAGTGAGCTGAGATTGCACCACTGCACTCCAGCCTGGGCAACAGAGCGAGACCCTGTCTGGGGAAAAAAAAAAAAAAAAAAAAAAAAAGCTTTCTATCTCTCCAAAACTGTTTTCCCCATTTGTGTCTATTTTATTGTATCTAGTGAAACACTGTGGTTACATCTATACCAGCTTTTTGTTGCTATGGTTACTACAGATTCTCCTGAATTAAAGCTCTAATATAATAAATGTAGTCTGTTCAGCATTTACTGAGTAATACTACTATATCATGGCAATATGGCCCTTTAATACTAAGGAGGTATATGGTAGAAACTATTTGAATACTCATCTAAATGTTATTAATGATACTTGGCAGTTTTCTCAATGCTTAATGATATTCCTCACTTCCCATTCCAGGGGAGGGGAGGGTTTGGTTCCAGGCTATGGACAAACTGCTAATTTGTTTGAAATGTGAATTATTTTTCATGGGAAAGGGAAGTGATAGGAAATGACCAAGACCATCCACTTTTTACTTGTGTATGGATCGAGTATTAATAGTAGTTTCCAAGCCTCATTGATTGTACTGTGAATGGACAGACTTGCCAGTCAAGTTAATGTACCCAGTTAATGGTCCTTCACATGGAAACAAAGTATACAGCAGTTTACAGCATATGTCTCTCTTCAAGCCAGTTCAGTGTTTTCACCTTGATAATCACTCCTGCTAGCAGTTCTTACAAAGCTCTTCTCTGCTCCCCAAATCATTGTATTTTGAAAATATGTCAAATATTTACATAGAAAGGAAATAAAGTTGTGCTTTGAAACCAGCAAAGTACTTTCCTTTGTGCAACACCTCTCTTTTCCTTCTGTGTTTATGAATAGAGAGTTCATGGAATAATATTGCCGTGGTGAATATAATGACTTTTGTGTGTCACTTGTACCCTGTAGGGGTGAGTTTACACTTTAGGTGTGGTTATATCCTAGCAGTGTATCAAGCTCACTCAAATAATGACCTATATTTAAAAGAATATGTCGTTTACTTATGCCATTTAACATCCATAAGTGTGCATCTCCCAATCAGTTGTATGATTGCAAATCAGAAATTTTGGTGGCAAAAATATTCTAAAACATTCTGTAGGTCAAAGAAAAATATTGATACTTCGTCTAGCATTGCTCATAAAAGTACTCATGTTCATCATTTTTGGAAACTATTAATCATGCCTTAAAATCATCTTAAGCTCCTTTGCTCAAACCAGTCATTGATCTGCAGTATGACCAGCAGCTAGTAAGCCTGTGGTACCAGCAGTATAGCTTAGAGGATGGTTCTGAATTAATGCCTAAGAATGATGTCAAAAGTAAAACAGTGGTTCTATTGCTAAATATGTCAACTAGCTTACTTTTAACAACTTACTTTGAACTGCAGAGTTCTAAAGCTAAATGTCTGAAAAAAAGTAACTGCAGTTTGTTCTGCTGATTTTGAAAATAGTATTAACCATGTAAGATATTTGGGTTGGAGTGAAGGTCTTATCCTGCATTAATTTTGTTAATGCACATTGTAGAAGATGTAAAGAACATCCTGACATGCATAAGAACTGCATCTCATAATTTTATTGTGTAGTGCTTTTTCTAAATATTTACATTTCTTTGGTTACCATGTTCATATATTCTGGAGAAGTAAAATTTCTTGAGTGATTACTAGGCAGACCCTAAAACTACTAAGAGAAACATAAAATGTAGTTAGCTCATGGTTTGTTAAAATCTAAGCTAACCTTAACGGTGCTGTACCCACTGTCCACAGAAAATGCCCTTAAACAGCCCTACCTTACTTCTTAGAGATTATTTTGCTTTTGTATTTAATAAAAACTGTCTTAAATGTTTCCTTGTGTAGTTTATGCATAATGGTTGAGTCTGTGTGTTAATTCAGTTTCAAATGCCACTAGTTTGTGTATGACCAGGACTCTAGACTCTCTCTTTGTCCCCTTCCCTCATTGTTTTGTGGGTATCACACAGGTTAGGTAGAGAAACTACTTCTCCCTGGAATGCTGGAATGATATTTTTTTTAACTTATCTGGAGAATTATATTTTAGTAGTGACATCTCATGTTTCTCTGTTATGGAGTAATTGATGTTTTCGCTTAGTATTAAAGTAGTTTAGTCAAGCATTTAAAAAATTAAAAAATTTTTTTGAGACAGTCTCACTGTCGTCCAGGCTGGAGTGCAGTGGTGTTATCATCACTCACTGTAGCCTTTGCCTCCTTAGGCTCAAGCGATCCTCCCACCTCAGCCTTCCAAGTAGCTGGGACCACAGATGCACACTACCACACCCGGGTTAATTTTTGCATTGTAACAGGGTTTTGTTACATTGCCCAGGCTGGTCTCAAACTCCTTGAGGTCAAGCAATTTGCCTGCCTCAGCCTCCCATAATGCTGGGATTCCAGGCTTGAGCCACTGCACCTGGCCTACTCAAGCATTTTAAATGTAGAGGCTTAAATAGCACTTGCTGTGAAAATTGAGAGATGCATATACTTTGAAAATTCAGTTGATTATTAAAGTATTTGATTAATCCATGCCAATATTTTCTCTCCATTTTCCTAAGTATTCAGGAATAAGCTATGTATTTATGTTGAGAGAAGGATAATATATGTGCTTCTCGACTTACAATGGAGTCATCTGCGGATAAACCCATTTTAAGTTGAAAAGGTAAGTCACAAATGCATTGAAGGCACCTAACCTACCAAGCATCATAGCTTAGCCAACCTTAGATGTACTCATAACATTTACATCACAGTAATCTAACATAAAGCCTATTTTGTAATAAAGTGTTAAATATCTCAAGAAACGTTGAATACTATATTGAAAGTGAAAAACAGAATGGTTGTATGAATACTTGAACTACAGTTTCTACCAGATACATACTTCTTCCATACCATTGTAAAGTTGAGGAATCCTAAGTTGAACCATTGTAGGTTGGGGGCTATCTGTAAAAGATTTGCTAATGTAAATTTCAGTGACTGTCTAAAGTTTAATAGAAATTGTGATTTTAAAATTGTATATGGTTATAATACCAAAATCACAAAGAAGGCCAATCTGTTATTCGTGTGTATTATAACTTTTGGCATTTATTATATGAGAAAAGAAATCCCTAGATTACTTCTGGGATATGTGATCCTCCTACCTTCCTTAATATTCTCATAAAATGTTAAGTTCTAGAAGCAGTATATGTATAAAAGTACAGTCAGCCCTCTGTATCTGTGGGTTCCAAATCTGCTGACTCAACTGCAGATTAAAACTATTTGAAAAATAAAAAATAATACCAATAAAATTGATACAGTATAACTACACCATTTACATTGCATTAGGTATTATAAGTAGTGATGATTTAAAGTATACAAATACTACACCATTTGATATCAAAGACATGAGCATCCATGGGTTTTGCTGTCGGGGGTGGGGTGGGGGCTCCTGTAATGAATCCTAAGGATACCGAGGGATGATGGTATTAACATTGATCTTATATTACGGTACATACTAGTGCTCTGAAGTTCCGAACAGTGCTGGTAATTGTTTTCCAGTATTTTGTGTTGAAATTCAAGCAGTTCATCAGCAGCAAGAAGAGTACTGTGAGACAAAGTAAGACTTTTAGTCACTGTATGATATTTTTTTTTTTTTTTTTTGAGCCGAGTTTCTGTTTCCCAGGCTGGAGTGCAGTGGCGCGATCTCGGCTCACCGCAACCTCTGCCTTTGCCTCACCGCAACCTCTGCCTTTGCCTCCTGGGTTCAAGCGATTTTCCTGCTTCAGCCTCCCAAGTATCTGGGATTACAGGTGTGCACTACCATGCTCAACTAATTTTTGTATATTTAGTAGAGATGGGGTTTCATCATGTTGGCCAGGCTGGTCTCAAACTCCTGACCTCAAGCGATTCTCTCACCTTGGTCTCCCAGAGTGCTGGGATTACAGGGTGAGCCACCACGCCTGGCCAGTCATTGAATAATTATTTAAAAATGAAATTTTGATGTGGCAAAACTGTCTTTTGAAGTGCCTATGAGTCTGCAACCTGGTGGTCATAGCCAAATACCCACTGGTTCACACTTGTAATTACCAGTAGCCAAGAGAGCCATGTGACTACTGTAAGCCCTACTGAAACCACCAATTGATTGACTGTTAAAACAAGTGTGTCTGTTTGACACATTGTGTGATCCTTGTCTACAGCCCAAATGACTGTTTTGGGTAACTCAAAGTTGAATTTAAAAGTGAAAAAAATTAGGTTTGATAGCATAGGGGGAAGTGAAGGAGTAAGAGAGTTGGAAATTGTAAATCTGTAGCTAAGTACTTTATGAAATAAATGTGAAAGGATTAAGCTCATTCCGTGTAGTTCTAGGGTGGGAAAAAAAGTGGAGCAGCTGTCTGAACTAGTGAATTCTTCATCTCTGAAAATGTTCCAGCAGATAGTGGATACACACCCTTGGGGCTGATCCAGCACTGGGAGGGGTGACTGCAAGACTCACAGGATCCTTTTCAATTCTGTAGATCTATGAAGTAAAAAGCGGAAGCAGTTTTGGGAGGAATAGAGGGGGAGGGGACATTATTTAAAAGTAAGTTTGGGCACTCATACTAATTGTCATACTTACTGCTTTGTCATATGCTACCCAGTGGTTACAAACAGTAAATGAAGTACAAGTGCAGTACTAAATATTAAAAAGATGTAGTCAAATATTTTTCCATATGCTTGTTTTCAGCATTACCTCCAGGTAAAATATACCAGAGCAACCAGTTCAAAAAGGCAAATTTCATACCAATTTTCCTATCCTGCTATAAGAAATGAAAGAGACACAATGAGTTTTGTCAATAAAAGCTTTAGGAATATCTGCACATGTACATTTACATTCAAGTTGATGACACTAGCAGTTTCATTTCAATATAAATTATGCTAGAGAACTCTGACATTTCAGACATGGTCATATATGTGCTATTTGAAATTCTTCATCTTGATACCGATCTTGATCGTGAATCTCTTGATGATAGATATGCAGCTAATTTGTCCCGAAACTCATGAAGATAATTGTATTGCTGAAAAAAATAAAGATACATTGAAATACACTGTAGAAAACTAGTTATCAGTGTGGGCACAACACTAGCAGGTATCAGGAATAAAAAAAATACTTGCTAAGCACAATTCTACATGTTTTTGGGTAAGGAGGCATTTGCAGCATAGGGAAGTTTTATCCTTTAGTAAAGCCATATAGTAGTGTGAAAAACTTGCTCTAAAAGTCTCGAAAAATCAGAAGGTGAAATAAATACAGACGGATGTGTTATAAGTCTAAAATGCTTTCTCTCTTTACTTACAGGACCAAATAAGATTTAAAAAGCACATAATGGCATTATATTTGCTAATGTTTTTCCCCCCTGCTAAGTAAGAAGGACAGAGCACTTTCTGTAGCAAGTAACTGGTATATTTAAGAGAATACATTACTTCATTTATAGAAGCCCTAGTCATCTGCTTTTTGTGATGACATAATCCACTAGGAATAATTTTCATAGACAATATTTTTTAAAAACAAATTGTATCACTAATCTCAGCAGATACGCAAAATAAAAGCCTTGAATAATTTATCCGGAGTTTTAATCGCTTCCCAGAAGATATTTTTACTCTGCCAATCATTTCATTTCATACTCTTATTAGAAGTGGAAACTGCATTGCTAACATTAGCAAGCCTGTTTGCCACAGAATGCTGATGTGATAAACTGACAGTCTGTAGTAATGTGGGCTTAATTATCTGCAATATTAAAGATATAAAACATGCATGTTCATATTTACATCTGACCATGGCCATGTAT